CTGTAAAATAAGAATAATAAATCAATAAAAGGCAAGCAAAAGCGCAGTTGAAACCAACTCCGCAAAATTAAAACCATCCTCATCCCTGGCACTGCACATAGGTTGCAATAATAAGAGTAACTCAAAGACTAAATAAATCCAGGAAAAGTACATGAACTTAGACAGCAGCACTTCCGTTCGTCAGTTCAGAGACAGACATAATTTCCCTCGTCTCTCTCACACACACACCCAGAGCCACAAGTCAAGGGAGCAGTTATCTCTAGCTGTATTATCTGAGGACTGACAGCTTCTCCTGCAGACAACGGCGACCTAGTTGCTCGCCTTGGCTCTTATCGCCTCTCCGAAGTCAGCCAATAGGGGGTCCAGATGCGAAAAAAACACACCCAAGGTTGATGGAACAGATAACCGATCCCTGAACAAAGAAATGAGGTACAAAAGCGCATTTGTATGAACAACATAATAAGTTGACTAACGCAGATATAACAAAATGTAGAACACGAAAAGTATTACGGATCCTCGAAATGAAAAACGCCAAAAAGGACAAGCAAGGCAAAGAACCACGACAGAAACAAGATTAAAAACCGCAGACGACACGTTACAGACTAACAAATCATTTCACCGACCGTGCATGGCTTCGGGGTCCTCCTAATCAATGCTAACCTCCTGATAACGCCGCAGTGATCGGATAGAGAGTACTGAACAAGGTCTAGATAACTTGCATAGACCTTGGTACTGCATAGGACACAACACAGTGAGATCAAGGCACTACGTAACATAAAAAAGAAAAAAGCAGTAAATTTCGCAATCGAATGACATGTATATATCGATTAAATGAATAGATGAAATCCATATAATAATACGCACGTACAGGCATTGGTCTGTGTGTGTGTATATATATATATATATATATATATATATATATATATATATACATATATATACATATATACTATATATATATATATATATATATATATATATATATAATATATATATTATATATATATATATATATATATATATATATATATATATATATATATATATATATTATATATAGTGTGTTTTTGCGCACGCGCGCGCGCGCGTGTGTGTGTGTATGTACGTATGTATATACATATACTGTGTATATATATATTCATTTATATATATATATATATATATATATATATATATATATATATATATAACACACACACACACACACACACACACACACACACACACACACACACACACACACACACACACACACACACACACACACACTGTGTGTGTGTGTGTATGTGAATACAGATTGATAAGTGACTGCCAGTATTATTGATTGGAATAATACTGACAATGCCAATAATACAAAGCAAACACACCTACTTGACAACAGGAATAACAAAACTATCGATCTGGAAGATTCAGTGTAAACGCTGCTCTAATCCCTCATTTGTCACCACCTCCCACGTCCCAGCCCCGTGACCTCTTGCATGACCTGGTTTCTGGCCTTTCTGACCTTCCGACTGCATGACTCGCCCCGTCTCTTCTGTGCTTCCGCCTGAGAATGCGTCTTCAAACCTCTTCCTGCTCCTCTCCTCTGTTTCATGTCGGACGGTCGTTAAATAACGGTCAGGCGAATGCAAACTGTGGTCGAGGTCTTGATCCGTTTGAAAAATGTATTATGTAGCAATTCTTGGGGGAGTGTGGGGGGGGGGGAGCTTTGTGTGTGAGTGAGTGTGTGTGTGTGGTGTGTGTGTGTGCTGTGTGTGTGTGTGTGTGTGTGTGTGTGTGTGTGTGTGTTTGGTGCTCGATTATTGTTATAAAGATTAATTTAAAGTTGTTTTTAGTTATGTTATCATTCCTACGATGCCGAATGATCATTATGAGGTTAATTCGGACAGTCACTGCATATCACCTATTAATCGTGTAATATAATATGGATTTAACTATTTCTGGATTAATCACGATGTATTACGATATTTTTTGGCGTTCGGCTACTGTCGTTTCATTATATTGTATTTCTTCCTTAGTGACCTTCGCATGTGATATCTCAGAGTTTATTTCCACATACTGTTGCGCTTTGCTTCAAGTAATAATAGGGCAGCAAGATTACGCTTCAGGATAGCCACATTGGCACGAAATAAGCGACAAAGTTCCTGAGAGCGATGGTCATATTTTGAATTCAGGCAAACACCTCCAAAGACAGTAAGTCCCAGTCCTCAGTTCACCAGGCATTGTGTGTCCAGAGACTTGTTTCCCGTGTAATGCTCAGTGAAGAATTCTCTCGCTGCCGTGGTACTACAATACATTACCATTATATAACACGGAAGCACAAATAAGCATAAACGATGATATAACACTGCATTCATAAACACCCTTCGTTGTTTTAATTTGATTAACAGTAAAAATAGGATTTTGTTTGGGTTCTCTTGTAACAAGCCTATCGTACCGAGCATGTCTACGCATTGCACTTCTAGACAAGTATGTTATCTGTTTGTACCATAAACTGCCCAGGTACCCATTGTTCAAACTCTTGCCCATTGATATAACATTGAGCAACTTCAGAGCTCTTAAGTTTATCACTTAAAACCCCCAACGCGTAAGATAGCGCGAGTTAGGGGTAGAGTTGATGGGGAAATAGTCTGAAACTTACATGGGCTCCGATATACGTCGCGTTGAGAGAAATAGCCACTGTGTATTTTCTTTTTGTGTTTTTTTTTCTTTTTTAATGCGGCCGTCTTGTTAACAAATGCCAGTCAAGTTATCAAGGAAACTACATGAGTAATTCTATTTCATTATGTTGTCTAGGAAATACCTTCCAATGTATATTAGGCCTTTGATGTATATCATAGCCTTACGTCTCAGTCAGGTTCGGTTCTTTAAACAACCTTAACAAAGTGCGATCGAACTACATGAAAAATAGGGGGTCGCATACAGTTCCCTGAAACGCTCAATATGACTTGGAGAAGGAAAGTACTTGGTCCCATCAAGCAGTTTCCAGTTCATACCCAAACCATCAGCTTGCTCATTATCAGCGTACTTTTTTATCCTCTTTTTTATTCGAAGGCCACTTCTATAGTCACTCTCACTATCACTTATCGCACCTAGCTGGTGACTTTTCTTCTAAATACCGCAGTTTGTTTCATCCACATTCAATACTTTGCTTTTAGTTTGGTCATTCATTTACCATCCTGACTAACTCTATAAAGGTGGAAACGCAGGTACATCTAATCTATCTGAACATCATATTACGACATTGCGGTGTATATTTGAAATATACCCTCTGTTTAGTTTAGCTCTTTACAAAAAAAAAAAAAAAAAAAAAAAAAAAAACACTATAGCTAACTGCGCAAGCGTGGACAAGCTTTGATACTTTTTTGCATGGTCATAACATAATATGATTCTATTACGTTACAAATTTAGATTATACCATAATCATAAGCTGCAGTGTGTCAGTTAAGAAGAAAAATACAAATTCCTCCCTCTCGTTCTCTATCATCTGGCGTGCTGCTTAGGCGCGGTAAGGCATTATTACAGTCAGTATACAGTCATATTATGATATTAGATTTCGCCTTAGGATGTAACATAATTATATCTTTCAATGAATCTGATGACATGAAATGGTTAAACATTTCTGCGTACCCCGTGTTAGGTGGCCTGAAAGACTTTATCACGTGACTCTTCGGTATAATGTGCACGTGTTCGCTTATTCCCCTTATTGCAAAGTTTACCCTCAGTTTCTTTCATATGACATGTTGCGTCGATCAAGCAATCTGTACTCGTCTGATTCTTGCGATTGTAACACATTATCATGTTCTTGTATTACAGAAGTCATAGACGAAATTATATCATAGAAAACCGGCTATACTAGGTTATGTTACAACTTTCTTTGTAGGAGTTTCGATTGAGTAAAATCCAATCAAGAGGTACTCTAAGATCGACTGGAGATCCACGCTTTGCTTATCTCACACAGACCTTATGGGATCAGCTGGATCGTACTCAGGGATCCCTACTGGCGTTGGTTTCCACACAAAATATAAAGCATGGCCGTGTTATTCTGATATGATTTGCAATATTTCCCAGTTCTCAATCGTGGGTGTTTAGGCTTTAGAGACCATTCTGTGAGTTGTAGAAAACGACTCCAAAGCCTTGACGTTATAGAAATTTATGTCTTTTGGGGGTTATGTTTAAAATACTTCAGTTTGAAATATCGCGCGCTGCTCCCGTAGATTTAAAACACGATTGATAAAGCCGCCTCTCTTTTTTTCTTCCTTCTTTCTTCTATTTTTTTTCTTTTTTTGAGTGAATATATGTTTCCCATTATTCTCTACATGATTTCATTACGAAGATAATATTACTTCTATAAAAACAATTCTACATATGGTTACAGTGAATAATGAGAAGCAATAAAATATTATCATCTCGGTACAGGATGAGGTGTTCATGCTGAGCTTTGAAATCGTGTTTACAATGTTGCTTTATCGTTCGAAATAAGGTCATCCAGTCCTCCATTCTTTTCTTTCTATTTACATCTTCATCCGGGTACGGAGACAAGCACCAGCAAACACAAACGTTTAAAAAAAAAACACACGCAGTGAAACACTTACACGTACTACTTAGACACACACACACACACACACACACACACACACACACACACACACACACACACACACACACACACACACACACACATAGACAAACAACGAACAAACACACAAACACACCCGGGGAACTGTCAGACCGAGGGTAGAGACAAAAGATAAGATCGAAAATGTACGTGATTCAACATCCGTATGGTTACTTATCGCTTACGGGTGTATTATGCACGGTAGGAGGGAGGGGGCAGACAACGTGACCAGCAAGATAGAAGAAAGAATGGAAGGAAAAAGGATAAAGTAAAATGTTGCGGAGTGAGGGAAACCTTGGCCATTCTGCCGTACCCTTGACCCCTTTGGTCGGTCGTAAACCCATTCAAAGTGTCTCCCACATGCCGGACAGCTGGCAACAAC